ATTGGCATTGTTGTGAACAATGTTTGGATAAATTTGGCCGATGAGTTCGTTTTCAGTAGTGGCTATGTTGCAAAAATCACTGTTGAGTTCAATGAGACCGGTCGTCTGGTCAGTGGGATATGTACCTTCGCCTATTTGTAAAAGTTTTTGAGCAAAATGTGCTGTTGTTTCGTCTTTCGAGAGTTCAACTCTCATATTTTTTGTTAGTCGCGGTATTTGTATGTGTGGCCAGAGATGTGATTTTTTTAAGCATGCATTGATCTCATCTGCTGATGTTGAATTGAGGATAACTGAAAGTGTTTTTCGAAAATTTCGAACGTTCTAAACGTTTCTAATAACGGAATTTTCACTTCTTTTTCGGTTCTTTCCTTCGTCACTGATAAGAAACTGACGTTCGAACCCACGACGGATCTAGAACAGTGTTTTTCAACCTGTGGATCGCGACCCCCGGGGGTCGCAAAGCCATACACGGGGGGTCGCGGGTAAAAGAAAAAGACAGGTGTTTGTAGGTCCTACACTACAATAAAAAGAACTACAATTTCAGTGAGAAGGTTGTGCCTGTTTATTTTACAGTACAATTGGTTTTTGATCGATATTTAAATCGCTACAGAAAGAAAATTGTATTTAATTTTCTTTCTGTACAGTACAGTACAGTATACGTACAGTAGTTTTTAAAATCACTGGCATAGTTTTAACATGGCTGTGGGGTCGCCAGAATTTTTTAACTTGTAAAGGGGTCGCGTATTCAAGAAGGTTGAAAAACACTGATCTAGAACTATAACCTGAAAGAATAGGCACAAAAAAACATACTACGAAATCTAACACAATATTAAATCGAAAGAAGATAGCGTAAAAAGAAAATATTGAAGATATATCTTTAGTTGTCTTACATTAAAAATTCGATAGAAGAAATCGTAAATGAACTTTGATATGTAGTTTTACATGTATTAACTTACGTATAATTATGATTTACATGTCGTAATTACGTGTATGTCAGATAATTTTCCATTTTCTTTGCCTATTTCTTCATATAAAAGTACTGGATTAACTGTTACAAAATTTATTATTGTTTCATTGATCTAATGATTTTTCATTATTTTCTTATTTATAATTAGTAAGTAGTAAAAATAGTAATAATTTGACATGAACCGGATGTCCCTTACTGGCTGCGAAACTCGCGATTCTTATTAAGGCAGTTTAAAAGCCCATCACTGCCCGAGTAAGTAAAACCACCGAATTCTGGTAGTTGGTCGTGGGTTCTCGCCTGGTCAACGGCCTGGCCACGTGCAGTTTCCGGGTTTTCTTCATGTTGGTAACACTTACAGGCCAGTTTCCCATAAAAGTCCTCATGGGTTGCACCCTGTCGGCAGATTGCCCACGTGTCTCGTTGTCGTAACCAAATAAACCAAATCTACACCACTAGGAAGATTGTTTAAAAAGTATAATAATGGCCATCATTTAAATAACAACATCGATAATATCTAATAAACTATTAACGAACAACTTTTAATAGTTTATTAGATATTATCGATGTTGTAAGTATAATAATGGCCATCATTTAAATAACAACATCGATAATATCTAATAAACTATTAACGAACAACTTTTAATAATATTTACATTTACTCCGATAAAACAAATTTCAGTGTAACTACAAATAAATATTATATAAATTTATTTAAGTAATATTCGTTTAAATCAATATCGATGCATTAAATCGTAATAATCCTCTTCTGAAATTTAAAATCCCAGTCCGAAAACACTTAAGTATTCTATGTTTAAATAGGTAAGTTGTTAGTGTTTATTTAGATTTTAAATTAAAAGATTTAAAACAATATTTCATTCCAAACTAGTAATTTAATATTTATTAATTATTAAATCAGTTTAAACGTGAATATAATTTAAAATCTTTCTGCTTATTAAATTAGGAAACTGCAAGCATCGGATACAAGATCTTAAAAAGCAGTGGCGTGCCGTCATTAGAAGCGTTGGAAGCGCCGCTTCCCTCGTATTCTCTAAAAAATAAATAAATATTAATTTTAATTATATGAAAATAATCGCACAATATTTTATTATAACCGCATTATGTATCTTATTACAAATTTCTATACTACACGGGGAAAAAAAAATTGCTATTGTATATTAGAATATTAGTGGCGGAGTGGAATCTCCTGTATTTTCAGATTACGAAAAGCCAGATTTGCGCATGCGCTTTACAGAGCACCAACCTCACCCGGTTTAGCCGGTGGAAGCCTACGACCTTGGGTGAAAGCTGCACACATATAAAGATTCCAATTCTATCAAGGACCGGTTCTGGGCTGTTAGCCGCCTGCCCACTAGATATTTCGATTACGTGAATAACGAGTAGATTTATAACTTAACCCAACCGATAAGAATTTACTGGTATGTTTTTACGATAGTTCTGTATAGTTGACAGGAGTTTAAAAAATCCATTAAAATATTTGATATATTTATTCCGCTCTCCGATTTTATATTACTCACGGATTTCGATGTTAAACCAGTGATATTACGATTTCGTACATCCCATCTTTAAGGGGATGTAGAAAAAAACGTGTACAATTCTTGTATAATGTTAAAAAATTAACCGTTACTTCGACAGCATCATTTACAACTAAATTTAATGAATGAGAGAGATGCACGAGGTACAGAAAAGGCTCTAGAATTTATTTTCCTTAAATTTACGATTTATGTATCCGTTGTCGTAAAAATTTGTCTTTCCACTTTTTTCCCGAGACTACAAATATTCGAGTACAAAGTAACTGGTTTCGACTTATTTCTACTTAAGAAGTAGTTAAATAATTAAGCGATTAGGGAATTGGGGACGTAAACAAAACCCTGATGAAAGAGCCGGAATTTTACTTAAACAAAAGCCTAACCGGACCAATATCTAGCCGAGTACAGTGGGACTGATTTCTTCGTAATATTAGATGTAATAAAGACAGAAATTTTTCCAGTTCAATGAAAGTGAGTAAAAGTTGTAAATTTTGGAAATTTCCGTGGACACCTGGTCTTAAAACGAATTACAGTAGTTAGAAAACAAATGACTTTTAAGTTTAACAAATTTAGATTTTTACAGCTATGATGAGAAACGTTTAAAATTTACAACAACCCTGTCGCGTCCTTTGAGATATACTAGTGATGAGACAAAAGAGACATTAACCGGTATCGGCACCCTCGGGATTTGGCAAGCATGCACCGCACCGCACACCTACCAAGACCGTCTCTGATTCCATCCACGAGCCACTGGTAGGGAGCAATTTTAACTAGGTGGATTGTTTTAATATTTAAAAAGTAAAGACTATTTTATGTTATTTTTATGTACGTTTCTTCACAAAACTATATTTATAATTTTCTTTAAAAGTATATTCATACAATTGAATATTTTGTACCAGGTATGTATAATTGTATATCATCACACATTTTATTTTAACAAGTAAGTTTTTATAATTTTATTTTTAATTTTAGCCCTTATATTATAGCTAGCAATTTAGAATGTAATTGTGATATCGAAAATTTATTTCAAAAAGTTTTGGCTCGAGACCATATAATGAAAAAGAAAAAATTTGTTCGACATTTTCATGATAAAATTTATGAAGATATAAAATGGCTTTGTGGATGCATAAAAATGCAAAATTTGTTTTGTTGGCCTTGCCTACTATTTTCAAATAAAATTAGTGTGTAGAATGAGATTGGCTTTGACGATTTAAATAATTTGAGTAAAGCTGGCAAAAGACACGAAAATCCTAAATCTCGCATCGATTCTTTCGTAAAATTGAAGCAATTTGGAAATCAAAATAGAATAGAATTTAACATTAGTACACAATATAAAATATATATTGAAAATTATAACAAGATAGTTACGGCTAATAGATATATTTTAATTAGTAGATGTTATCGAAGCGAGAATTGGCATTTAGAGGGCGTATAGAATCTATTAAATCTAATATAAGAGAGTTAATTATATTGAACTTGCTTATTTATTAAGTGCGTTAGATAATCTATTAATTAAAAATACATTTAGAGAAGTCTACGGTTTTTACTGGCTTATCGAACAAACGAATACGAATGGACCCTAGACCATTGATGACTGATTGCCCCTGGAAATCGGCTTCTTATAGAAACACAGCTTCCCTATCATCAAATGTCACGGCACGCCACTGTTAAAAGGTATTTTTAAGTGTTAGGAACTCCGAAAAGAAAGTGTTTTAATTTAAAATTTATAGTTATAAACCTTTTCAAAAACAGGCAGGTGGCGCTTTAAAATATTTCGTTCGAACGCCATTTTGTTTGATATCAAACAATATATTTTTTGAAACATTTTTTTTTTTTTGTAAAGTACTGAAGATTGCCCACTGGATCATACTCTTCCGGAAAATTTCAAACTATTAAAAGAGGTTGTTGGCATCAGTTACGGAAATAAGTTTTAAAATTGTGACTGTTACAATTACGATTAAATACATAAAGATTTCATGTGGTTTTAAATTCAAAATCTGGGTTTTGAGTATGGAAAGTGCAATATACTACTTGGCACAGCACGTAATGCAATTTTCTAAAAAAATATTAAGGTAACATTTGTGAGTGTCAGACGTGATAGTGGCGTCATAAGTGATGTAATTTTGAAAAAAGCAATAGTTACGATTGTTACTTTTTGAAAATCGCATTATGCATGAGACATACAAGTACAGTATATGGAATCATGACTATAATTCTTTTACAGTTTTCAGAAATAATAGAAGAACAAAAATGAAAAAAGAATTTGTTTAAAAAATAAAAAACTAGAATTAATTTCCTGTAGACAAACATACTATAATTCATTTTTATAAGTAAATTTGTCCTCTACTGTTTTCCACTATAGTACACGACACTACATACACCTACACACTTATACATTTGTTTTTAAATATTAAATAAATTTATTATTCAAATGTATAAAACTTTTTCTGATACGTGAATTAAAGACTGCGTTTACATAATTTTAGGTGTCAATACGATTATCTGACAATTGAAGGAGGGGTTGAAGCATCAGGAATCCATTACTGTGGTGATTGGAGATCGAGAATTAAACTATTGAGACAGATTTCCACGTCTAACATGCTGAAAATCTTATTCTTTTCTGATTTTTCACAAAGTTTTCGAGGTTTCAGAGCAGAAGTCTCTTTAGTGCCAGGTAAGGTCTCGTTAACTTTTATAGGAAAAAAAAAATATAACGGTTGTAATTTTAAAAGTGATTATTATTATTACTATAATTTTACATTATTTTATGATACTATATAATTTGAATTAATAATTTAGTAAATATAATTTGTTTGCTTGTAATATAGGCAAAAATTAATATTTAGATTGTGATAATGTGGAAAAAATTTGGTGATCTTCATTTATCAGACCCATTTCATTTATGAGGAATTGTCAATATTTAATGTGAGAAAAGTAGAAATTTCATGGGAAAACTGGAAAAAAGTTACTTAATTAAGCACTTAAACTACATAATTTGAGCAGTATTAAGTATAAAAGTATGTCAAACGCAAAGATTTTCTGCGCTAGCCGCAATTTACAAAGTGAAATTCATCGCATTCATGAGACTCATGTCAAATTGCTATAGAAATAACAGGATTCTGGAAGCTTGCAACAGGAAAATTAGGGAAAGATAAACAAATAAACCTTTTCAAACACAACAGCGTTGCAATTTCTATTAAATTCGATGTCGTTCATCGTTTTAAAAGTGTTTTCAATGATGTGTAAAATCAAAACATCATTCTGAAGTACCTTAGCATCGACAATTGCTAATAATGTTATTGTTGATCGTTTCGAAAATACTCTCAACAATAATAGTTTCAACAAAGTGTGTATGTATTTTATATGTTGGATATCCTTATAAGTAAATATGCTGCTTTAAATTTGTCTAATAATTTATATTAAAATTTACATGCGTATGGAATCATCATTTAATTATTCGAAAATAATACATAGAAAAGAAGAAAAGTTCATTCTTATAAAACAATACAGTCCAGCCTACAAAACGTCTACCTCTGACAATCAGCGCTCATACTCTAGATTACAAATCATTAGTATCAATAAAAAAGACGGTCAGTTAAAATTGTTATCGTGGCTCGCTCTTCAATATCATTAATTAATTAAGTAAACAAAGCCGACCAGTGACGAATGGATAAAATCACTGAAAAGCCACACTAATGGACTGACCATGTAGAGTTTTCTGGGTTTTCTTCATGTGTCTAACGCTAAGGGGACAGTTACTTTCCCATAGAATATCTTCCTGGAATGTACCACACATGGTGATCTCCATGTCTTGTGTTATCTGATTCCATCAACCACCAATTAAACAAATTACTGAAACCACCATTAATATATACATGATGAAAGAGCAATTGAATATTATTAATTAATTACCAAATAATTCAGTTTTGTTAGAATTTAAAAAACTTTATAATTAACAAAAAAAAAAAAACGTAAACTTACTCAGAATTCGAAATTATTATATATTGTATTAAATAATATGAAATTTATTTTCTGAAACGTTTGTATCAGATTAAATCGCTTGGTTTTTGGCTGAAAACAAGCGATCAGTGATAAAACTGATCCTTCAACAGCAAGGATAGAAGTATGAAGAGTTTGGTATCGGTGGTATGATGATTGTTATAGAACTAATTAATATCGTACAGATGCATGCCAGATCCATTTACACTTTCATTTAAATGTCTATTATGGTAGCTGTTTTATTCGTTCTGTAAATATTTGTCTCTTTAATCCGAAAAGAATTACTTCAGTAGACTATCCCACAGCTATTTATGTTAAAAACTCCTTTATTGTTTTTTCATATGCATTTCGGGCTTATTTAATTCTCAAGTCCCTCCTCAGTGCTAAATAAATTTTAAGTACAATCAGTAATATGACAATATAGCACGTGTAGATAATATTAACTAACATAAAAGAATCATTTTATCATACATAAAGAGCTTCACAAATTTTTCTCCGGAAGATCTTTATAGTATGATAAAATGGTTTTTTATGTTAGTTAATATTATCTACACGCGTTATATTGTCATATTATTGATTGTATTTAAAATTTCTTTAGCACTGAGGAGGGGCTTGAGAATTAAAATGAGAATTAAATAAGAAATGCATATAAAAAACAATAAAGGAGTTTCTAACCTAAATAGCTGTGGGATAATCTACCGAAGTAATTCTTTTCGGATTAAAGAGACAAGTATTTACAAAACTTTCATTTAAGCAATATGGCTGTTTATGCTATAGAGACGAGTTTCGTTCAATTTGTAACAATGAGAATGTGACATATTTCAGTATGTTGGTTGCCAATATATACACACCACGCTAGCGCTCAATAGGAACTCCATTTTTCTCCCTCCTGAGTGGATTTTCATAATGTATGAATAGAGGATAAAAGAATTCCAAATAGTGATTTAAAGACGAAATCCTTGTGGCCTGTGTATGTTGTTACGTAACTTCTTTTATGGATGATGATGATCGTTCGCATACAGTTCGGACTGGCGCGATCACACCGCGCGCATAATGATTTTCTAAAGCTTTATATCTTATTAATAACATCTCACAGGTATACTTACCCTGTGAGATGTTATTAATAATCACCTTACCTGATCTAAAGTTTATTCAGTCACTGATGGGCCTTAATCTATTAAAGCAAAGCCCATCAGTAACTGAATGGATACTGGTATTGAATAGTTAATATCAGGTTCGCCTGACCATCGGGTAATCTATACGTGTCGAACACCTAAATAAGAGCAATTTCCATTAAAAATCCTTCCAGGAAGCATCACACTTGGCAAATTGCTTTCGTGTTGCATTGCTTTAGCATATCAATCCTTATTAAATCAGGTAAACGTGTATGCCTGAGGATGAATTGATTAATGAATTAAGTTGACAGGAAATGATTTTTCACGCATTTTCGACCAGAAATGATAATCTGGTCTGTATTGATTTTAAGTCACTTAATTTACATCTTAAAGAGTTTAATTGCAAATTTACGTCTCAGAAATTGATTTATCGTGTTGAAATATCCCTAAATTCTATTGAGGTTTTCTAAGTCAAAAATAGCTTTCTTGAAGATTTAGTCAATAATTTTGGACACGTAATTTAAACAGAAATCTCATAATTTTCTGCTATTTTTCAGAAATTATAGATTTTATGTTTGAATAAATCATTTATAATTATTGAAAATTAATCAAAAATAAAAAGATCGTTGCTAATCACTTTTATAGTCTACATAACAGAGGGAAAGTATGACGATCGGAAACAAGAAATGACCCTTCCCAAAATTTTTACATTTATGGGCTCAGGACACCTTGAAACGTCGAAAAATGCAAAAAATTTCGGGGTACTTCTGTATGTATGGATGTTAGTGTGTGGGGGGCACGATTTTTTTACCCTCTTTGAAGTTTAATAACTCCTGTGCTTTTTGTCGAAATTTTCTTAAATTTTGCATGGAGGTTTGTTTATTAGGGGGATTGATGATATTGAATTTTGGTGGTTAAAAGTCGAGGGGTGTGGAGATAGGGAGGTCCTGTCATATCTCGAGTAGGGTCTGACTTAAAATGACCATTTTACTCGTTATTATCATTCACAACTTTTTATAAAACCTATCCCTACCCTCAAAATTGAGCTTTTTGACATTTTATAATAATTAAAAATATAAACAGTTTTAAATAATAAAATATAACAACAGATGATGCCACACACAATTTTGAATGTTACCAGGAAAGTTAAGCAACTGGTTGCTGGAATTTTTTTTAAATTCTTCTCCTACACGGTGTTTTCAATTGAAGTTCAATTTCGTGACGATATAACTCGGAAACTAATAAGCAAAATGACGTCATATTTCACATGGAGACTTTAGTAGAGTAACTAAAAAATTGTTACTTACAAAAATGTCCGCTAAGGTGGTAAATGGCGCTGCAACACCATAGGGATAAATCAAACCGTCTGAAAACTTACGATATATACGGTACACTGTGTGGTTACGTAAAAGCATGCTCAATATGCCGGCCCCTGTTGATCACGCAACAAACAGAATGCTCGATATGTTTGTTACGTAATCACACAGTGTATTATATGTATCGTAAGTTTTGAGACGTGTTGAGTTATCCATTAAGGTGTTGCAGCGCCATTTATCGTCCTAACCGATATTTTTGTAATAAACTTTTTATTTCAAATAAAATTCCATCAGTTCAAAAGCGTCCAAGTGAAGTTTGACGTCATTCTGATGATGAATACTCTAGTTATATCCTCTTGAAATTGAACTTAAGTTATTATATTCTCGAATTTAGTTATTAATCTCTAGAATTCTCGGCCATCTTTTGTCTTCCCTTCAGTGGCCGTTGTTCAGAGGAATTCACTGTACTTGAAATTTCTAAAAGTCCATAAATATTATTAAAAATTTAAAATATTTTAGCTAAATGCTATTAATATTGTTTCTTGTAGAAAATTAATACAACTTACTTGCTTTTAAACAGGTGAAAAATATTTGTGAGAGTCACATGGGCTGTATGCCACATACAGCCCATGTGTCGAGCTGCTGTATGCGAATAAACCAAACCAAACCCACGACCAACTAAGTGCTTTTATCCACCCATCTATTTGTTGGCATCTCTTTCATCGAAGAGAAAGCAATTTGTCATTTTTCTTTAAAATATTCTCTTTTTAATGTATTTATTCTGTGAACGATTCATGCAATAAATACATTTTTATACCATAAATAAATAAATTTTTACAATTGATTAGATTTCTAAAATTATAAGATTTTGGAACTTTTATAAAGATAATTATAACATTCTAAAAAATTATATTTATAATATTTCGAAATTTATAAAATTCAAAATCTAATTTTATAAAAGATAAAATTCGAATTTTCTGATAAGCATTTTAAACCGATAAATTTATCAGTTAAAAATTCAAAAAATTAAAGGGGAAAAACCCTAAAATTTTTCTCAATAAACTTTCGAATTTAATTAATGTTTAATGTTTCAAATTTGATAAGAACAAACAAATATTTGTATACAATTATTAGATTTATATAATTATGCCTCTACTAACGTTAAAAAAAAGCATAAAAGGAAAGATCCTTTTATGTAAATAACTTTTTTAACTGAAAATAATTAAGAATTTCATGCAAATTTTTAATAATAATAAAAAAAATTTCTAATTACTTTAATGATGGATGACGCATCACTTACAATATAAGAAATCGTTCCAATTAAATATCACATAATCTTTCATATTCTTTCAATTAGACTTGAAATTAATGCCGAACTTCAAACTCTCATTACAATTCTTAACAATCTAATTATCTTGGACCTATTGATTAAACATTATACGTGATTTTTAAGGATATAAGCATAATAGAAACAGTATAAAATAATTTGTTTCCACTAATTATAAATGTAAAGGATGGCCCAAAATTCAGTTAACAGATTGTGTGTGGTTGTTTGGATTGCTGAATAAGGCAATGCAACACGTGGGCGATCTGACCAAGAGTGGTATCATCCGGGAGGACTTTCTATGAAAAAAATGCCATTATTTAGGAGCTAAAACACGTCAACAAAAAACGAAAACTGTATATGGACAGCTGGGCAATGTGCGAACCCGCGATCAACCAGTGTTCAGTGACTGTCGGTAGTTTAATTAATCCGAAAAGTTAGCTGACTTTTATACCATCCTGTACTTTCGAATAAAGGACTAAATCTCCTACAAATGTTTCAAATCGGCTTTTACTTGTCCTTAAAATAAACGCGTATGTATATTTTATTCGGTTAACTGACTTTTGAGCCAACTTCTATATTAATTTATAATTTGCAAAATATTACCTTAAGATAAAGGAATAATACTAGTGAATAAAATAATAGAAAATGGGTTTGAAAAATTTTAAAATATTAATTAAAAAATAAAAAAATTTGTAAGTTAAGAAGTTTCAGTTGCAAACTTGAATTATAATGATTGATTTTGGTTACAGAAAAGAATCCGAAGTCGTTATGCGATAATCACCTGTTTCGTAGCCACGAAAATTATTGCTATTTGGTATCGACATATCCAGAAGTGAGTTGGGACACTGCCAATCGGATATGTACGGAAACTCAATCACAATTAGCTACTGTTACTTCGACCGAAGAAAAGAAATTCTTGCATTCGCTCATACGATCCGCAGAAGGATACATGTCTGGTGTTATTTATTGGATCGGATCGAAGAAAAAATCGGGAGAGATTACATGGAACTGGTTAAACGGAGAAAGAATTTCCTCCGGTGAAAAGACGTCATTATTATTTTTTTTTATTGATACGCGGTTTAGCCCCTTAGTAATTGCTATAAAAACTTATGATAATTTATATTTGATTTATAATTAAGCTAAATAAACAATTAAATAAACTTTGTTTTTTATACTTTTTAATTAGTTTAAAGTTTTATAATATTTAAAATTGATTAATTTAACAATAACCGAATTTTTTGGCTATATTTCGGCTATACACTAATCATTGAAAGTAATCTGGACTAAAGCCTTGTCAAATTACTAAGTTTTAATCAAATGTAGCTAAAATGTAGCCCAAATTTATCCGACTTTTACTTATTTAATATTAATTAGTATTGTGTGTAAATATATTTAACCGTAAATAAATAATTTTCGTTTATTTTTAAGTAATAAAGCAAATGTTTAAAAAATTTTTTCAAGTGCTTTGATATAAATAAATTGACTACATGCAGGCCTTAAGCTACTTTTAGCCCATTTAGCTTTAAGATGGGGTGTTTTTCGCCATAATCTAATTCAGTTTATGGAAAAAATTCGAATAAAAACAGAAAGAAACTGGTATTACAAAACACTTGACGCTCCTTTTATTCCTTTACTCATCAAAGTGCATCAGATCCCTGTCGGTTGCTATAGAAACTGGAATTTATCTTATCAAGTGATGCTGTAATATTTCTCTCCAATACGTTCAGCTCAATTTATTAATGAAATAAACGAAATTATAATGTAAAATATTTATTAAATTTGCTTCTCTTACAGTAAAATATACTTAAACACTAATATTAAAGAGTTTTAATTAGATGAATATTCAAAAAAAAATCTTTATTTTTCGCGGAAGAAATTTAATTTTTCTTTGCTATCTAATTATAAAAACACTTACTTTAAAAAAATTTTAAACAGGAAAAATGCCGCGCGAAAATTACATTTCGGCTTAACTTATCACCTTGATTTTTATTATTAAAATTATTTATAGTTTAATATGAAGAAATGAATTTTTAAATTTATTTATTTTTAAATATTAAACACATTTTCTTGCTGTTTTATTTGCAGATATCATAAATTTAGACGAAAATTCTGCATTAAATCAACCGTCGTGTTTAGCCATACAGTGGAGGCATCACAACGTTACAAGCGATTTATTCTGGTCTGGTAAACGGTGTAATCATTCTGGCAGATATATATGCAAGAAACTTGCATTTGGTAATCAAATTTTTCATTGATAAAATCCACAGTCCACTTTTTAAGGCATTTATGGTCTTAAAATGGCTTTTTTGACTGTTTTCTATGATAAATTATTTTAATTTGCATCGAAACTAGATATAACTTTTTTATTTTATGTAATGTTTTTTATGCCTTTTACTAACATAAATGATCAATTAAGCGATTTATAAGAAACTTGATCATAAAAAAAGTTAAATTTATATTTTTGTATCGATAATATATATTTATAAAGCATACAATCGAACCTCTTATAGCGGCCACCTCTAAACGGCGGTCATTTCTAGGAACTTTTCTATTTTGAAAACAAAAGTGCAAAATAACCTCCAAACAATGGATATTTTGTATGTGTGTGTTTCCATGAGTGGCCGTTGTTAGCCGTTGTGGCGGTAAATGACCTTCAATCTTGATATTTTTCTGCAACGTATTTAAACTAATTTATAATTTTAGCATTTTTATAAATTACTTTATAAATTTTTCCGAATTATTTTAAATTTTAACAAAATCTTTACAAATTAATTTAAATTTTGAGAAGATTCAAACATGTCTTTTCTAATAAAAAGCTTTTCTTCACTGGGAATTTTTTTCTTTCACAATCAATAACTCAACTTATTTTTTAGCGGAAAAGAATAAAGTTTAAATTGAGCCAATATTAGCAAAACTTTAATTCTGTTGTATGTAATAGTAACGTTACAAAGTTCGGAGCGTAGACTTTAACTATAAGATTCTTAACTATCCCTTAACTATAATATATTATATAATTGATTCATGAAAACTGAAATAAAACAATTTAATAGATGATATATAATTAAATAAATAACAGGATGATCTTGAAGTCTTTCGACATCACTACTATACCCAGTGGTGCGTTATACTTTGGGAAAAAGGGCAATTGCCTGGAGTCCCCACTAACAGGGGACCTAAAGTAATCGTTTATAAGAAGATATTTCTCCCAAAACATTCCCTTGAAGAAAAATGTCTGAAGTAAACACTGCATGGGGCCCCCTAATTCAAATTCGCCTGGATCCCATGAAGGCCCATGAGCCATTGGCCATACCATCTGTTTGTAAATAAATGTGTATGAATAATAAATACATGCATACATAAACAAAAACCCATACTAAAAGAATTCAAGAGGGAAAGACCAGTTGGCTGTTGCATAAATAAAGTAAATTTTTAGTTTAATGGCTGCTATATCGAAGGATCTGGATCACTTGAAATAAACACGTATTCATAGAAAGAAATCAAATTCCATAGCAGTTATAGAAACGAGATGTAAAGTGAACTGTATTTTGTATGACAAATTTAGTATTTACAATGTTAAACTAACTTTTGGGCCACCATGTATATCCATAAAGCGCAAATAGTTACACATTTATACGACAAGAACTTAAAAATCCGTCTAGGATGGTCCAAAAATCGGTTTACCGTATAACGCCAATAAAATCTCGAAATGTTTATCTAGCTTTCATGAGTAAATTAAACATTATAAATCAATGCGCGTAGACTTATAATTATATAAATACATCTCTGATAGACTTAATAAACACGACTTATTATCTCTAAATTACAATTATCCCTACCAAGTAATCATTTACATCTTTATAGTAAAGGACGAAATAAAATATAAGTTAGAGAAATTTCTGCTATTTACACCGTAAAATTAATTACATCTGTTAATACTTATAAAATTCCAAATTATTAATAGATAATTCTATAGATCTATAAGTTAAATATTCATGAATATTGATTGTTGCAAGTCACAATTCTCACATAGCAAGTGTTCTTGATATCTTGTTAGGTTGTGTTTACGCGGTATCAATAATATTTGCAATGAATTTGTGTTGTACACAAGCTTAAGCAAATATCTCCCAAACAAATATTTAGTCTATGTTATAGAATTCATTATCTCATCTTTAATTTGCTTTCATATTTTATTATTATTATATTTTATTAAATATTCGTTATACAAAAATTATAGATAATAATAAGCTTTATAAATTGGTTATTATATTTTGTAAATTATTTCAAATGATTGGACTACAGTTTTCAAATAACTCTAAATTTCCAGTGGCAACCGTTGTCAGACTGTCCTACTTTAATCTCGATAACGGAGTTAGGTAGATGTACAAGGTATGTCGAGACCGGATTTGGAAAGCTTAGGAGCAGGAGGCCCCGATTAACAGAAACCTTCAGTATGACCCGGAAATCACATGGTTCTAATTCAAATGCTTTTTTCAGAACGAAGTTAGATTACCGGCATGACTCAATTGTTATCAGGAAAAGCATGATTTACAGGCGTGAGACACTACTAAAATCGCGAGCATATATTTTAAATGAAATAAATTTAAAATATGATTAAAAATTGCATTGTTTTATTTTCTCAAATATTTAATTGTCACGGTCGAGTAAACTATTTTGCAACGGATCTAACTGAAAATTCTTTTCTATTTTCTCCTTCTAGATAATTCTAGAATTTCCTACCAGTTGCCAAGCGGTCTTCGTACCGTGAACACTGTTAGTTCGGTTTGTGGGTTCGCGCCTCGCTCGGATGGGTTGACCACGTAGCGTTTTCCGTGTTTTCTCCACGTTTGTAACACCTTAATTGGGACCAGTTTCACTTAAAAAAAAACTTCCGGGAAAGCATCGCGCAAGTGTTGCGTTGCCATAACTTAACAAAACAGAATTTCTTTTTGTCCTTAGTTTCTATTGATTTTGTTTTTCTCTAGTAGAATGCCAAGAAAGCCATTACTTAAATTGTACTTTAAATGAGATAAACGCATTGCCATTCCTAGAGATTCAGGTTCGAATTCGAATTGGATTTTCAAAAATTTTCACAGATCGTTTGCCTTCGGGAATCCCATTCTTCGTCATCCAACTGCCCTATTGTGATCGTAGTTCCTATGATGAAAATTAAAAACGAACTCTCTTACGGTCGTTTTACAACCAAGAATCGAGAGTTTGAATTAGAAATTAACCAATTAGCGTATACTTTACTTTAGTACTAAACGTTTATTGGTTAACTTCTAACTATTGATTCTTGATTACAAATATAGCCATTAGGAAGGTGAAAATGGTCACAAAAAAGGAGGCTATTGATAACCTCTGAAAAACTCTGGAAATTTTTATAAAGAATTTTATTAATTTCATAAAATTCTGAATGTGCTAATCATTAAAATACTACAAATTAAAGCTAATTTATGGAAAGAATAAAGATTTTTTAACCGCACCCTGTAGACATTAAGAAGGCCTATTTTTAAAGCATGTTATTGATTTGGCCAGGCAAACAACGGAGAGGCAGGGTGGTGAGGGACGGGGCCCGATATATCAGGAATGATTATCTCCAGAAAAATTCCCTACTGGATTCGATCACGGATCTCCCATAGCGATAGTCAGCCACCTTAACCGCTCAATCATCCAAAGTTTTAAACATAATTTTTAGATAAAATTATTATTAAACGTGAATTTTTAAATATTTTCTTGGAAAAAACATTAAAGTATTGTTATTTCTTTGTTTTTTCTTCAATTCAGAAAGCTTGGAAAAGCTCAATAAAAAAACGTCAAGTGGAAAAGTGATGTTCTGAAAAAGCATTTAATTTCTCTTTGTTCTCTTTATCAAGCTTTTAATGACAGCTGCTTCACTTTGAAAACAAGTTGACCGAATTGATTTATTTTTGATGAAAGAATGAGAGTGTTGTGTGTGTGCGAAATTAATTTTTCAAGTTTCGATCCTGAATTTTATATAAATTTCCGTTTTTTTTCATACATTATTTTACATCTATATTTAAAATTTTTATTAAAAAGCGAAATAATTTATTGAAAATTATATTTTTATAATGATAGTATACTAAAAAGAACTATTTTATAGAAAATCTCTGGATGTTTATATGTGAATATCATTATATGTTTATATCATTTTAAATGAAGCTATATTACTTTAAAAAATTAGTTTTAAGCTTTATCACTAATGTTTTAACTAAAATATTTTTAAAATTTTCATAATTAATCCTAGATTTCATAAATTTTAACCAATGAAAGTCTTCTACAAGTCTACTTAATTAGAGATTTTGATATATACAAATGTTTAAAAGTTAATTATCACTAGTGTTTATTATAATCTTCATTATTTTATTATTTAAGCTTAATAATTAACTATTTATAATTATACAACTTTAATCAGGATCACTTTCAGCACGTAGCATTATGAATAAGATGATTATCTAATAAATTACCGTACATTCTGTTATTTCTGTCGTCGAGGCAACTATTTTTATGGTTATTTTATTATTAATATTGAAGCAATTATCTGAAAATATTAAGCATACTTGCACGAATTTGGTCGATAAACTGTACATGATAATTTAAAGTTTTACATAGTGAGTTCTATAAGTCTGAAACCAAAGGAGTCTATAGTCTGATAAGTCTGGAACCATTGAATTTTGTTTATTCTTTTGCAGATGAAGTACGGGACTGTGTAAGGAGGAACGACCTATTTTGATGGTTAGATCTCGCAGTTAGCGTGAAACTGCCGAAGAGTTTAACAGGCTGCATCCAGACTTCCCACTAACACGCAGAGCAATCTAGATGCAGCTTGTTAAACTGTTCAGCAACTTCACTCTGACTACGGGATTTCACTATTTCATTTATTAGAATTTATTCCTCCCATGCTTCACCCGTAAAAGAATAAACAAAGTTCATTATAACGCTAATCGTTCCAGACTTTGAGCCACCGTGTGGAATCAAATACGCTTAATGAGTATCTTAATCCTTTCTTAAATAATAGAAAAATAAATCTTAATTTTTGATTTATATTTAATACATGAGAATTGTTTATGTTTTATATTGTAGGCTTTAATAACCTGTAAGCCTTCAAACAAGTCGATAAACTCTACTAATTAAACGAATAGTGAAAATCCTGTTGGGCTAAATTACAGCTAATTAATTAATTAAGATATTTTGGAATTTTGCTAAAGATGGGCTATTAAGCCGCCATCTCGTGTTAAATTTAATAATTAGAAATAAATCAATTTAATTTAGAATATTCTGGAATAAAAAGTCGGCCCGACATGGAAGTCGAAACCACAACCCCTGTTTACGGTGCATATTCGTTGCCAGTGTGGGTTCGAGTTCCGCTCCGGAATAACCTTAACTTCCAGAATAATCTATATCAGGGGTGTCCAACCTTTTTGTTTCCCTGGGCCACATTGAAAGAAGTCATGGAGTTTTGGGCCACAAGTATATTTTGGCTCAATCCTTAAATATATAAGTATATTTAAGGATTAACATGTCTAGATTATAGTAATAAGTATTAAAAGTTTACCACAAAAAAGAATATTTTAAAAAATTACTTCTACAGACACTTTCAATTTTTATTTAGAAATAGATAAATTCATTTATTATAAAAGAGACAAACAAAAATTTATTTGAAAAACACAAATATTTGTTTTATTTGGGTCTGTAATTAATAGAAACGACGAAACACCATTTTAAAGTGCATTTTTATTCAACTAATATATTTATAAATAATATATAGCCCAAAAAGTAGCCAAAGTGCCAA